TATTTAGATAGCATTAATGTTGTCAATAACAGTAATATCAGGATTCATAGCTAAACTCGTCACGCAAAGATTAGAATTAAAGCTCTAGACGCATTACACTAGTTACTGACTAGTGTGCAGTCAAAAATATCCAATACAGTCCTACAGGAGGTCAATCGCGAGCGCGAATAGCTCAGTGGTAACGTCTCTGACTGCAGCACTGAGTGACGTGGGTTCGAATCTCAGAAGGGACATGAGTTCCTTCAAGGTTGCAGATATGCCTTGCTGAAGAGTGCAAACTAGCACGAAACCTACGTCCAAGGCTTCCTGCCGATTGCCTCCAAACATCTAATACCAACAATTCACAGTGCACCGTAATGGCAAGCCACCTAGCATGGTGGCCACATTGCAAACATGACTGATAGAATTCAGTCTGCACCGAAGATAGGACTAGACACATTATACTTGTTACTGACTAGTGTGCAATCAAGAATTAAAGCTCTACCTACCCATAATTAAACCAAAACTATGGGTACGTTACGCTGATGATACATTTCTTACAGTTAAAGCAAATGATTTGGAATATACACACACAAATTAATAAACAACATATTTGAAGACATTAAATTCACCATGAGAGAAGAAGAATTAGACGACAACCAAATCCCATTTTTAGTTGTGTCTTAATCAGGTGAACTAACACAGTAAGTTTAGAAACACAAGTATATAGAGAATCAATGCACACAGACCAAATACTCAACTATACTAGTAATAACCCAATTACGCACTCACAAAAGAAACTGTGTGCAGACATTGTTTAAAAGAGTTCAAACACATTGTAGCTCTCCAGAGTTGAAAAGAATGGAAGAAAAATACCTTCTAACTGTCTTCAGAAAGAGGAATGAATATCCACAAAATTTCATCAAAAAGTGTTTAAAATCGAGTCATAACACCAACAAGAAACCATCGACAAAGACAACAAGAAAATTCACTCTAACATATATAATCGAAAATATCTCAGAAATAACAGCTAGAATATTGAAACTTTTTGAAATAGATATAACACACAAGCCAGCCAGCACAATCACTTCAGTCGATATTGTGAAAACAGAAAGATCCAAAAGAAAAGGATGACAGAAAGACTGAGCGAAGAAACATTTACTTTTCAATTAGATCCTCATCTCTGGCTCTACTCTAATATACATAGCATCTTTATTACAATACACAACAGTTTACCAAACAAGTAGCACAGATATGTTTGTTAACAATAATTAAACAGTGTCAAAATGTCAATGGGTTGATAATTAACGAAGAAAATCAATACACATTTAAAAGGTAGAAATGGTTAGAATAAATTAATTTTACAAGGATAACACGTAATTAAAGATGAAGTGGTCAAAATAAAAATAAAAATAAGATAAAATAATTTGGACAATTATAATTTTTATAGTTTTTAAAGGTTTAGGGGAGGAAGGTGACGTAGTCCTGTTTATGCATTTTACTACAGATGGCCACGGTAAGAAAAGTGGCTGTACAGATTTCTTCTGAACACATAGGCTTGGCTTCTTAAGGTGGATTCCGATTGCTTCAGCTGTCTGTGGAAGACGAACTCATAAAGCGAAATTAAGATTAATCGGAATGCGATAAATAATTTTAAATGCAGTATTAACATCAACCTTATGCTCAGTATCAACAAGGTGTGCTAAAATGGAACTACGAATAGATTTTGTTTGTCCCTTCCTTACCCATGCTGGATGATGTTCGGAAATAGTAAGATGAACCCCCCTAATTGTACGCCCAATCTAGCTGGCTCCGCAGCTGCAGTCAAACTGGTAGATACACATATTAGAGTAGAGCCAGAGATGAGGACCTAATTGAAAAGCAAATATTTCTTCGCTCAGTCTTTCTGTTTTCTAAATGTCTAAATGGGGATTTTTTCTATATAGAATAAGAAAATAAAGTTAATACCATTTACAAAGTAAATAGTATGAGCTGAGATAGACATTATGTCGGTTAAAGGAGGAGACGTCCACTCCGTGTCCAAATCCAAGAGCACAAATTACCTGCAAAAAGGCATGACGTATTATATTCCTTCACATCAATGCATGTAGATAGTTATGTACACCAATTTGATCGGCATAATATCGAAATTTTAAATAGACGAAACACCAAGAGTGCAGTCATAGAATTCCTAGCAGCCTGGTATTCAAGTGAATGAGCCAGCGATTAACGAACATGTTGATAGACCACATCTACCAACTAATAAAAAGTAAATCATGTGACGTGAAAGTTTAAAATCCAAGTCAATAAAAAAATGATCGAAACAAATGTAAATCGACTACCAGTCAAGAAGATAGTCACCATTGATATAAGAATAAAACTTATGCACTGTGGTAGAGTGTAATTCCATTATGGGTAATATTTATTTTGATAAAGTCTCACAGTGTAATACAGTATTGTTTACTGATGACGTTTCGAGCACAATTTATTGCTCATAATCATATCAAGGTAGTCACACGACTTCCTAAATTCATTTATATAGTTCCATTGTGTTTCACTGGATTTAATTGGTAGTATTATTTTCCATATTTCGGGTATAAGTGATGAATCATTCCTATTGCATGTGTGGGGTGTAGATTCGACGAACAAGGATTCAGTAATCAACCTCTCTCTCCACCTACCTAAATTACTTTTTAGAATTTTAGCACTCTCCCACCCTATTGTGTGTTAATACATACATTGCAATTGCCGAGCTTTTTTCTAAATTAATTAACTTCTCTGGGTCAACCATTCTTACCTTAGCTAAATTCTTATGTTCTGACAATCTGACTACCCCTGACCTACTGGTTTGACCTATGTAGTTGACCTCACAGTCATTGCAGGGTATTTTGTAAATTATATTTTGCCTAATTGAGTCGTTTAACCTACAGAGCTTATCCCTGAGTGAGTTTGTAGGTTTGAATGCCACCCTAATTAATGCTTTATTTAGAATCCTACGAAGGGTTTCAGATATCCCCTCTTTATATGGTATAACTGTGGATGACTTATATTCTCTCTTATTTATGTTATCATTATTAGTTTCACCATTATTTTGATTTTGATATTCCTAATGAATTTTATAGGATAGTTATTCAACACCAACCAGCCATTCTTCTATCTGTTTCATTTCATCGTTTAGGTCTTTTTTTGTGCTACTTAGTGCTATTGCTCGGTTTGTTAGACACTTAACTAAGCCTGCCTTTACAGGCAGACAACGGATGAGGTGAATTAAAGAAGTCTAAATATCTATTAACAGAATGCGTTGGTATTTTATAGACGCTAGTGTGCAGTCTACCTTCTTCTATTCGTTTTGTTTTACAATCTAACATCATGGCTAATTCTCCTTGTTCATTTTCTGATTCAAATGTGAATTTTATTCCCTTTACTAGTGAGTTTATGTGCGTGAAGAAGCTAGAGAGAGAGATGTTCTGTTTTCATAGCACTGTAAAATTGTCATCCACATATCTCCATCATATTTTTGGAGTAGAATTAAACGTATTAAGAGCCATATTTTCCCAGCTATCCATAAAAACATCTGCTACGATAGGGGATATTGGTGATAGTCACCAAGAGACACAATTCTATCTGTCATTCATGGAGGGAGAATTCGAAATCAGTTCATTTTATGCTAAAACTTGCGTTGAAGATGTTGTCTAGATGGAGGGGAGGGGGGACGATGACGTCGACGAAAACTTCGCAATTAAATCAACTAGCTCCCCGAAGAACACAACTAATTCCATCATATCATACGCCTGAGCTACAAAAATCTTTTCTATTTTTTTCTCAATAACACTAATTTATTCATTCATGTCAAGTGATCCACAACGGAAAACTCAGCGAGGCGTTTCGACTAAACACAGGAGTCAGACAAGGGTGCTTATTATCACCAATGATATTCCTAATTGTGGTGGACTGGATTATGCGTCGTCAGGCAGTGGGAAACGAGAAGACAGGGATATCCTGGACCGACGTGAAGAACCTAGAAGACCTGGATTTCGCGCGTGGATGATTTATGTTTGATGTCACACAAAATTGAAGAGTTACAAGCGGAAACCGACAAAATGGTCGAAGAAGCAGCAAAGACAGGACTCTAGGTGAACACAGACAAAACGGAGGTTATGAAAATAACCAACCAACAACAATAACAGCAGCAGCAACATCCAGCGCCAATCACCATCAACGGGAGGAATTTGAAAGAGGTTACTTCCTTCATTCACTTATCTAGGGAGCATTGTCTCAACTACACGAGGAACGGACGAGGATGTCAAATCGAGAATCGGGAAGGCGAGAAACACATTCATCAACCTGAAACAACCAATCTGGAAATCTTCTGCTGTCACTCAGCCTGCATCAACAACAAAGTGATTCGGATTTTCAATACAAACGTCAAGTCAGTCAGTTCTTCTATACGGATCAGAAACTTGGCGGCGGGTCACAAAGAATATTTCCAACAGCCTGTTGCAGACCTTTATCAACAACTGTCTTCGCTCTGTACTGAAGATCAGATGGCCGGAAAGAACAAGAACCAACAAGAAACTATGGGAACAAACAAACGAAACAAGAACCAATCGCTCAACAAATATGCAGGAGAAAGTGGAGATGGATTGGACACTCGCTGAGGAGGCCACTGGGTGACATCGCGTGTCAGGCCAGTGCTCGAGTGGAACCCGAAAGGGAAGCGGCGAGTGGGACGTGCAAGGGTGACATGGAGGAGATCGTGTGGAGAGGAGTTGAAACAGTATGGACTAACATGGATGCAAGTGAAAAGTACAGCAGAAGACAGAAGCAAGTGGAGGCGTGCAGTTGAAGCCCTATGTTCCACTAGGAACCCAAGGGAACAATAATAATAATTATAATTCATTCATTCTCTATTATGGATGAAGAACATATAATTGTAGAACCTGATGATGAAGAACAGGTTATCGGGAAAGAATACTCTTCCTTCAGTTGATGAATCAGTCTTTTGAAAAAGAAACAAATGACTGTAATCAAAATCACGATTTCAATTATTCAATTTATAATACATTTATGATATATACCAGTGAACAGTAACAGTAATAATAATAGTAATAAATGCAATATACATTGTAATCAAGTTGAGCGTTTTGTTGAAGAATGATGAATACGTACAGAAATAAGCATTGCAAAGATGTGTGTCATTAGTTCAAGTTTCCTGTGAGCAAAAAAACAAAAAACAGAAAAAAATCCTCCCTCCGTCCACGCCATTAGTGTGTAGAGAGGTTTTACAAAGGGGGGGGTGAGACTTAATAAACTACGACGATTAACGATGACTGCTGCAAAGTGTTGTTGTTCACCTTGTTAACTTTGAGACATTATTATTACTACCATGTATTCCATATTTATTACTTGTCTTTATTATTAGTAGTATTACTGTCTTCGTGAAGAATGGAGTCCAGTGTCTGAAGAATATCATCTGGGATCTGAAAATAAATACACACAAAAAAAAAATAAAAATAAGAAATATTTGTGATTTGTTTGAAAACAAATAATAATAATTAAAAAAGGTTCAATGAATAAAAACGCCCCAGAACGCGCCCAATAATATCAACTAACTTTGTCAAATATGCTGATGATCTGAATGTATCACTGCCTATCACTTCCGAGTCTGACTGATCCAAACTTAATAGCTTTCTGTTGGACATCAGCAAGTGGTCTAAGTCAAATGGTCTTATGTTAAATCCTTCCAAATGTCAGGCAGTTAACTTTACTTTCAAGCATCGACATGACATACATGAACTAGTTAGTTCCCATGATGCCTGTAGCATAGATGGCACAGAAATTGAAACCATGCCAAGCATTAAATCACCTTGGATTAGTTCTTTCCTCTGACCTTTCATGGTCATCCACAACATCTTATCAATCTCTAAGAAAATGTTTCGCCTACAACCTTCTACATTAAGAAGTTAAGACAATCAGGTATCAACCAACCTTTAGTTCTGCAATTTTTAAACTCCTGTATTTTACCTATTGTACTCTATTGTTCTCCATTAATCTTTCCTGGGCTTCTCAAAAAAGGCTATATCATATTACGAAGGGTATTAAGTGATGCGAGTAAGGCTTGTGGTTTGCCATTGCGTGAGCTCGCCAATACTACAGTCAAGAGACACATAAATTCCTGTACAAAATGGGCAAGGGCCATACTGTCAGACCCTCTGCACCCCCTTTATTCACAACTATCCTCATCAGGTAGGACGAGAAGTCAATATAAAAAGTTATATGCTCGAACCACTAAGTACAAAAATTCTACAATACCGTATTTAGCCAGTATTTTATGTGATGAAGACTCTGTTAGACGTGAAACATATAAGTTACTATGTAATTGGCAAAGTAAAAAATCACATACTGAAATTGCTACATAGCTGCTATAACAACGTTTTGTTATTATTATTATTATTATTTTGTAATTGTTTATTTTTTGTCGTATTGAGTAAAATAGATGCAATGTTTTACTGAATGCTGAAAATTCCTTCCTGTATCAATAGTACTGTTTTTGGAATAAAGCAAAAATGATTATTATTATTGTTATAAGCTGAACTACCACTAATGGACATCAACCCTCCGGCGAGATCAGAAATCCTGAAGGCAATCAAGATGCTAAAAAAAATGGAAAAGCAGCCGGATCAGACGGAATCCCAGCGAAAGCATTGAAAATGGACCCAGAGACATCAGAGGAATTGATGACACCGCTAATGGAGAAGGTGTGGAAAGAGGTCAAGATACCTGAGGATTGCAGGAAAGACTACTTATTCAAACTACCAAAGAAAGGAGACTTCTTAAGTAAATGCAAGAACGTGAAGCGCTGCATTATGCTCCTGTCTATCCCAAGCAAAATACTAAGCCGCATCATCCTGGAGAGAATCAAACACACCGACTTGGATGAAAAACTTCGACAGGAACAGACTGGATTCAGAGGGAACAAATCATGCATCGATCAAATCGCAACACTACTTATTATCATTGAACAAAGCTTGGAATGACAGTCAGCTCTCTATCTCAACTTCATCGGCTTTAAAAAGGCATTCGGTAGCGTAGCATCCATCGATCGAGGGTTGATTTGGAAACTAATTCGCTACTATGAGATGCCCCGAACAATTATACACCTCATCCAGCAGTTGTACGACAACACTGCATGCCAAGTAATCCACACAGGGGAAACTCACGGAATCCTCCGAAGTCAAGGCGGGAGACCTATGTTGCTCCAGGAATTAAAGGAAATAATAATAGTGAATAAAATAAATTCAACAGTTAAAAGATTAGCGTCAGTTAGTAGGGAGCCATGAGCTTAGGTTGCATGGTCAATGGAGGACTGACTGACTCATGAGGAAGATGTTTCGGCAGATGTGAAAGAATTCTCATTTCAACTGCTCAGAAATATTCTATTCTATATTACATTACAGAGGATTGATTTGTTACCAGGAAAAACAATCTCGTCAACTAAGAGTAAGTATGAAGATGATATTGTCCTCAAGGTGATGACTTTGAAAAAAATAAGTCTTTCGAACACCTTCATCGACTTTGAAAAAGCCTTCGACAGCGTCGATCGAGAGGTGCTTTGGAAACTACTTTCCTACTATGGGGTGCAACCGACAATTATACATCTCATCCAACAGTTGTACGACAATGCTGCATGCTAAGTAATCCACAACGGGAAACTTACGGAATCCTTCGAAGTGAGGACAAGCTGGCTGCCTACTATCGCCAATGATTTTCCTGATTGCAGTAGACTGGATAATGCGACAAACAGCGGGCAATGAGAAAACAGGCATAAAATGCACTCACACAAAAAACCAAATTGGAGGATCTGGACTTCGCCGATGACTTATACGTGTCTGATTTCCCACAAACTGGAAGATATGCAAGCGAAAAGCAACATGTTGGCAGAAGAAGCATCCAGAGAAGATAGGAATTCACTTCAGGTGAACATAGAGAAAACAGAGGTGATGAAGATTCCTGGACAACATCAACAATAGACAACGACCAGCATAAATGGGAAAAACCTGAAAGAAACAACCTCTTTTATCTACCTGGGAAGCATCGTTTCAACTACAGGCAGACGGAACTGACGAGGATATCAAAGCAAGGATCATCGGAAAAGCAAGACAAGCTTTCACTACTCTCAAGTCTGTGTGGAGGTCAACAGCACTCAGCATCAAAAATAACATCCGGATTTTCAACTCCAATGAGAAATCAGTGCTACTCACTATACGGATCAGAGACTTGCACTGAGCGTCATAAAGAGCATCTCAAACAAACTACAAACCTTCATTAATAGTTGTCTTCGCTCAACATTCAAGATCAGATGGCCAGCCGGCCAGAAAAGATCAGCAACAGAGATCTCTGGCAATCAGCGAACCAACCCAGCAGGAACCGATTGTGAAACAAATAGGCAGGAAGAAATGGAGATGGATTGACTGGCCATACTCTGAGGAAACAATGCATCAAGTGACATCACTAGACAAGCCATTGCTCGAGTGGAACCCGAAAGGGAAGCGGCGAGTTGGTCGTCAGTTTAAGGGTTACATGGAGGAGGTCATGTGAGGAAGAGATGGAAACGTGCGGGCAGACATGTAGCCAGGTGAAGACTATAGCAGAGAACCGAACGCAATGGCGACGCACAGCTGAAACCCTATGTTCCTCTAGGAATTAAAGGATACAATAATAAATACTAATAATAGGCTGGTGTCATTGGATAAGGTCCCAGTGGCTGCTGAATAGTCTACGAGCTCGTTGGCCTTGTAACCGGAAGGCATTAAGTTCGAACCCTGGCGGTGGGTGCGTACTATTGAAGAGTTCTAAACTAAGATGAAACAGCTGTGCAGTAATGGAGAACCCTGGTTTTTCCAATGGTCCTCTAACTGATGTGATCAAAATGGTGATCAAACCTACAACTTATAATTCTCACTTTTTACTTAGAATTCCACTTTTTCAGCCACGTAGAATGATACAGAGAAGGTCCTGTTTCAGGTCGATAAATGAAATCGGATCTGTCTGTTCGTCAAACACACAACTTAAACAAATCATTATGTTTTGAAAGATTACGTAACGGTTATTCAATCTGATCAACACTAACAAAATATAGCAGGAAAACAGAGAGAGAGAGTAACAGACCAAATTACCTTATCAGATTTCGCTAAATGACTTCTAATCAGCTGAACAGTTGACGGAGTAATTGATTTCAACAAATCTTTATTAGAAGCCATTGATGAAGTCATTGTACGTATTAAACCAGTCAGTTTGTTACTTGCTACAGGGGATTCCGCTGTAAAAAACAAACAACAAAAACAAAATAAATATCCATACGGAATAGGAACATGATTCAGAAATTTAACTAATCACAGTTGAGCATTTTGAAATCCTTCAACACTGTACACCCATGACCCTCTCTCTACTCTAGAGATCGAGTCCATCCATGGCATTCAGGTCGCAAGATGAATCATATTATTATTATGATTGACGCAATAGTAGGTTGCAATCAAATCACCTATGAAATGATTCAGGACGCAGTGAGTCATCTTCAGCACAAGTTATTACTCATCTCACTACTAGACACGCATTAAAGTTAACCAGTAATAAGCAAATGCGTCGATGGCACACCGGTAGAATGCTCACCAATCACGCCTCATGTGGTTTGGGGTTCGATCTCCAGCCGACACACTCCTTTACCTCCGTCACTAAGCCAGTAATAAGACTGGTAAAGAGGGAAGGTCGGACATGAGGTGGCTAGCAACCCCATCCCGTAAAAGTAATAAACACCACTGCTACTGAAACTTCAAGCCTGTACCTTGAAGCACTATGTTCCACTGGGAACGTAAAGGAATCAACACACAAAGAAAAAGTAATGAGCAAGTTGGATGGATGAAAGCCCACAAGAAACAGCTGTCGAGTAGTTTCTTGAGCACATAGTGTGGTTCGTGAGATGAAATCCACCAGTATTCACGCCTAGATGAGTGAAATTCTTACAAAGAAAAAAGGAACTTCTCATTCCAACTAAAAAAAACACGTTCATGCATCGTTATTAAATTAGGTAAGGTAAGCTACAAGGAAGATAACAAGATAACAGCACATACTTCGTGTAGGAAAACGGATGTCATTAGAAGAAAGATAAGATATCTCTAACTAAAAAATATTGAAAGTGTGTAGACTTATGAAACAAATGCACAATACATTGGAGAAAAAACATCAATGAATACAAAATTACGTCACAGTCCTATTACTGCCTAAGTGTAAAATCACACTGTGGTTACTGAACAGGAGAAAAAAGGTTTTCACACTCAACACAGTCTAGCGAAAGATGTTTGGCATTTGAAAGAAAGGGGTGGGGGGTTTGGATCTAGGTTTCTGTCTCATTGGAAACACTATCATTCACTGTGGTCGAACGCTTCAAGCAGCTGACGAATCCTGAACACGATGATACAACGATCGTGAATTCTACTTTTCGGCTACCGGTAAGAAACAAGGAAGGCTGCATACGGAATCACATTCGTATTTTTGACACTACCGTTACGCCAAAGCTTCTGAATACAGTTCAGAGACTTGGTGTATCACTCTAAAAGCATTTCCAAAACAGCCTGTCATGAATTTTCATCAACAGCTGCCTTCTCACTGGCTCCACACACTCAAGATTAAATTTCCATAAAGGATTAACAGCAAAAAAAAACAACTCCGGCAGTGAATCAACAAAGAAACTATCACACAACAAATATGCAGAAAGAAATGAAGATAGATTCCATGACTGTTGAGTGTCGTCGTCATGCCGAAGTCCGTCCAGTAGAACCTGAATGAAAAAAGACGAGTTCAGAGTCCTACTGTTGTGAGAGCTGGTTGCTAGCCAAAATTGGTAGACAGCAGCAATTTACGTCAATGTTTATGTCCCAAATATTGGTCATGTGAAAACAACCACAAGAACAAAGACTGACTCAACAACCAATCACAGCAGACTTTGCGTAGGCAGATACACAATTAGCAGATAGATGATCTGATATATTTAAGAAACAGCCACAGAGAGATGAAAGATTAACTAACTTTCAGCGAGAAACAACCACCAATCAGAAGACTGTGTTTGTCTACTTAATATAATCTAAAATAATGTACATGAAAATCTATAAATATGTGTTAATTTCCTTAATAAACGATCTGGTCCTTGTCTTCTGTTGTTACACTACAATGACATAAAGAAGGTCATTCGAAGAGGAAACGAACCACTCAGAACCCAAAGAAATAATTTTTTTATCCTTCACGTTCCCCAGTGGAACATAGGGCTTCAAGCTAGTGGCTTGAAGTTTCTGTAGCAATGTTTATTTTACAGGATGGGGTTGCTAGCCTCATGCCCAACCTTTCCTCTTCACCAGCATTATTTCTGGCTTAGCGAGGTAAAGGAGTGCGTCGGCCGGGGATTGAACCCCGTACCATGTGCATAGTAGGCGAGCATCATAACCGCTATGCCACCGGCGCACAAAGGAATAATAATGATAATAATAACACTAGTTATTAGAAATGTAATTCGTTCAATCTGATATTGTTATACAATAATTATACAGTATCAATGCGTATACACATACCTGCAACACGTAAACAATTATCCAAGAAATCAGGAATATGCTCAGGATCGGTAGTTTTCATAAATTCAAGTGTTGACAGGAAAGAAGATTCCGTCAGTGGATATCGAGAACTACCAGCCAAAAAGGTTGGCGATATAGGTTCAATAATCTGAAGAATTAAGAGATAATGATACAAATCGGGCTTGTTAATTGTTTTGACTAACAAGTTATACACTTACTTTTCAGAGTAGAAATTAAGTTATTTACCGCGTTCCTAGTAATTTATCTAGAGGAGCTCGACTACGTCTTCTATCTATCAGTAGCTGAAGCGATAGCAATTAATACCAGAAGACCATCTCTTTGCATACAGAAGAAGTATGTTCAACCACCATGTTTACCTTGGCCTACAATAAAACCAACAATTCCTCCATTAACACTATAAATTCCTTTCACAATTTTCTTTTCTTCTTCTATTCCTCTGTTTCATTGACAAACGTTCATTTTCGACTTTTATGATTTCATGACCTTTCTAATGATTTTATTACCTTAGGTTTAAATAGTGCTTTTCTAACTCGTTATCGTATTTACAAAATCCTGTTCATTCCACTTCATTATACTCGTTATTATTATTATTATTATTAGACAATCATTCACCAATAGAACTTGTAATTTTACACCATATCATCGTTATTACTACTTTACAATCATTCTTATTGTTGTTATTTTCAACCTTGAACTTATGTCTAGTCCGCCTCATTCGTTGGTTTATTTTCAAATTGTCTCACACACCCTGATTACACTCACTCTCGAAACCTATATTTTCTGTTGACTATATTTATATATACACACACATCATTAAATTAAATTACTTCACCTCATTTTGTCCCATGTTCTCATTAACCATGCATAATAAAAAACGAACTGACTATTGTTCCCTCCCATCTTATTCTTGTTCCACAATACACTTTCTGATATGATTCTAATTTGCCTTTACTGGCTGGCTATTGTATGCTTAAATTAATGGATTTATGATTGTAGTGCCTGAAGAACGAAGAATTTATTGAAACTACAATTGTTCGCTCTAAATATTTTGTTGTATAAATATCTGTTTATTTTCTGAATAAAGGATCTGTTTTGCCTGACCCCTTGTCTTCTGTCGTTACACTTCTGCTGATTCGTGTAGCATTACTGTGCTTAGATTACTACGTTTGCTTATACAAGAATACACTTGTTCCCTTTTTAAAATAACAACTGATATCTTTGCGCTGATGTGGTGCGATGATTTGAAGTCTACAGATTTGTTGGAGTATGTCTTCTTCCTGAATATAGATATATTAAAATATCCTTTTTGTTTCCCCTTTACCAAGGAGTCTGGAAGGTAGCTCACCGAAGTCTGATTCTGCTCCTGAAGCATATTTAACGCTGGGGGGATATGGATGGTTTAGTTTCTACAAAAATGAATTGTGTAGATCTCGTTTTAGCACAACGAATATATCATTAACGGATATCATAGCCATATGTTAGATAGGAGCTCAACTTACACAGCACTGGACAAAGAAGTGAAGAAGAGTGCAAGGAAGGACAAAAGACAATTCTACGACAACCTGGCCACTGAAGCTGAGAAAGCAGCAGGCGAAAGAGACCTGAGGACATTATTTCAGATAACCAAGTCTCTATCCGGGAAGACATCAACACAAGTGAAACCTATAAAAAACAGTCAAGGGGACCCAATTACCAAAGAGAAAAGACAGATTAGACAATGGGCGGACCACTTCAAAGGACTCTTGAACTGACCACCACCTGCAGCCCGTCCAGAAATACCAAAAACAGCACGTACAAAACTGCAAGTTGACACCAATCCTCCGACGAAAGCTGAAGTCTTGAATGCAATCAAGCTTCTGTAAGCTGGAAAAGCAGCTGGACCAGATGGGATACCCCCGGAAGCACTGAAAGCGGACCCAGAGACGACAGCACATATGCTGACTCCATTATTGAAAAAGGTGTGGAAGGAGGAAAAGGTGCCTACTGACTGGAGGAAAAGTTACCTTGTGAAACTACCAAAGAAAAGCGACTTAGGACTTTGCAAGAACTGGCGAGGAATCATGCTCCTGTCAACGCCAAGTAAAATCCTGAATCGCATCATCCTGGAGAGAATAAAGGACACACTGAACACAGAACTCCAACCAGAACAAGCTGGATTCAGGAAAGGCAAACCATGTTCTGACCAAATTGCAACTCGCAACTCACAGAACAGAGCATGGAATGGAAATCAAACCTCCACACGACTTTATAGACTCTAAGAAGGCCTTCAACAGCGTTGACCGCGAAGTAATTTGGAAACTACTCGAGTACTACGGCGTACCCCAAATGTTCATCAACCATATTCAACAGCTGTACGACAACAGCAACTGTCAAGTGATCCACGACGGAAAACTCAGCGAGCCACTTGGAGTAAACACAGGAGTCAGACAAAGGTGCTTGTTATCACCAGTGACATTCCTAACTGTCGTGGACTGGATTATGCGTCGGACAGTGAGAAACGAGAAGACAGGGATATTCTGGACCGACGTGAAGAACCTAGAAGACCTGGATTTCGCGCGTGGATGATTTATGTTTGATGTCACACAAAATCGAAAACATACAAGCGAAAACCGACAAACTCGTCAAAGAAGCAGCAAAGACAGGACTCCAGGTAAACATAGACAAGACGGAGGTGATGAAAATAACCAACCAACCAACAACAACAACAACAACAGCAGCAGCTGCAACATCCAGCGCCAATCACCATCAACGGGAGGGATTTGAATGAGGTTACTTCCTTCATTCACTTATCTAGGGAGCATTGTCTCAACTACACGAGGAACGGACGAGGATGTCAAATCGAGAATCGGGAAGGCGAGAAACACATTCATCAACCTGAAACAACCAATCTGGAAATCTTCCGCTGTCACTCAGCCTGCATCAACAACAAAGTGATTCGGATTTTCATTACAAACGTCAAGTCAGTCAGTTCTTCTATACGGATCAGAAAATTGGCGGCGGGTCACAAAGAATATTTCCAACAGCCTGTTGCACACCTTTATCAACAACTGTCTTCGCTGGCTCTATACTGAAGATCAGATGGTCGGAAAGAATCACCAACAAGAAACTATGAGAACAAACAAGACAAGAACCAATCGCCCAACAAATATGCAGGAGAAAGTGGAGATGGATCGAAAACTCGCTGAGGTGGCCACTGGATGACATCGCGCGTCGGGCCACTGCTCGAGTGGAACCCGAAAGGGAAGCGGCGAGTCGGTCGTCAGTGCAAGGGTGACATGGAGGAGATCGTGTGAAGAGGAGTTGAAACAGTGTGGACTAACATGGATGCATATGAAAAGTACAGCAGAAGACAGAAGCAAGTGGAGACGTGCAGTTGAAGCCCTATGTTCCACTAGGAACTCAAGGAAACAGTAACAATAATAACGTTTCTGATTGCAGTACATGGATGACGCCAGTTTGAATCTCCAAGGGACATCACTTTCTTCGACGTTATAGTTCATGGCTTCCTACTATCGATTGGCTTCAATCAACAAATGAATACTATTCATTCTCGACAAATGTTGACATCGTAGACATACAGAGAGAGATGACAGTTGAGGACAGACAGACAGTTCACACTTTTTAATTATGCAACTATTTAACAAAAACGAAACAAAACAAAACATGATGGGTAGCAGCAATACGACGACTTACATTAGTTAACTCTCCAATATAATCACACAAGCCTCGATTGATTAATACTCCAGCTAAATGTGAACCTGCTGAACTGATTCCATTCTCTGATATCTTATTCACAATGCTTATCACTATAATAATAATAATAATAATAATATAAGAGACAAACATAAAGACAACACAAGTTTATAATGGTGAAGATGTGTGTGCATGCGTGCGTGTGTGTGTGTGTGTACGCGCACAAAAATGGTAAAAGGTGGGTGAGAAAGAGATTATGATTCATCACAGTTAAATGCCCAGTACACTTGAAACATTGAACCCGTGATATCCGACTATCGACCAAAGGGCGTGTGTACTGCTCAACAGTCCGCTCCGTCCTCCTTTATGGCCAGCTGCGAGACATGGCCATTGAGAGCAGAAGACATTAAAAGATTAGCTGTCTTTGATCATAGGTGTCTGCGTTCTGTCTCCCGTGTGAAGTGGTATAATAAGGTGAGCAATATTGAGGTTAGGCTTTAGACGATTGCTAGGTAAGGCGGCGAAATCAATCGACGAGACTGTGAAATTACATCGACTGAAATGGTTAGGACATGTGCTACGTATGCCTAGTCATCGCCTTCCTCGACAACAGGCAATGCTAGCTGATATAGGGTCAGGCCAGCGGTCAAACCAAAACATGCCTTCACTAGTCAATGAAATGTACAACAGTTAGTTTAAGCCAGTCACGTAGGAAAATGTACACTTCCTGACTGGTTGGGGTCCTCTGAACGGTAAAAACCAATAATTGGAAACAATTGGTGACATGGCTCAAAATCGCTGTCAATGGCTGGCCTAGATGCATCCACTCCTTGTGGCTTATGACTTCCAATGAAACTGTTTTGTTCTTCGTTATTACTATACCTTTGTCTCACACCTCTGTTTACTGTCTCTAATATGCATTTCTCTTACTTTCTTCTCTGGCTTTGTGTGCTACCAGAAGGGAGTGTAGCGACTTGAACTGCCGCACATATGTGCAAAGTTCTACGTCGAAAACCGACCTACCAACCGAAACATTGAACTACATGAGTTCATATCCAATCAGTTCTTAAATACTTGAAATAATCAAGTCTAAGGGTTCAATCTCTCACCGACGCACTAATAAACCTCGCTGAGCCAGGACTAAAGCTGGTAAAAAGGGAAGGTTGGGCGTGAGGCGGGTTAGTAACCCCACAGCGAAAAATAATCACCACTCTGCCACCGAAAATGCAAAGCCCAAGTTTGAAGCCCTATATTTCACCAGGAACATTAAGGAATACAAAAAAGTTTTATTTAAAGTAAGCTGTAATGTTCTCAATTTTTCTTCTCATACTGATTAGCATAATATGATGATTAGTAGGTATTAAGGTTAACAGATGAGTGTCGGGTAGGGAGAGTAATTCATTCAATCGGGTTATGAAGCTACATCGTTTGCGATGGACCAGGATATATCTTAGTCACCATGCAAAGCTATGGCCTTCCCCCTATTAAGTAATGTTAGCTGACATAGAATAAGGAATTGGAAACATTTATTGCCGGATACCAATTTAAAACAAGCAACAAGCGTTAATAAAATACAATTTAATGAATTCATCATTCAGCCATCACCTTCCTTGTAGGGTAATCTTAGCTGATATAGGGCCAGGTTGGAAAAGAGCCAGTGGTGGTCAAGCCAAAACTTGGCCTCATCAGTCAATAAATAGTTTAAGCTAGCCAGTCACATAGGAAGGTGTAGACTTCCTGACTGGTGACTTATCATATCCAATAGAACTCTATTGTTCTCCTATTCTACTATTTTTTCCCTCACTCGCAATTCTGTTAATTATCTCTCTTTTGAATCACTTCTTCCTTTCTTCTCTTGCTTTTTGTGCTAAGTGTCTACTATCTTTGAATTCCAGGGCAAAAATATATGGACAGACAGAAGGTGTAGCAATAGGATGAATCATCAATATCCTCAATCGTAGCAGATATATCTATGGACACCTGGGAGAATATGGTGGAGATTTGTGGATGACAATTTCCCAGTGTGAAAAACAGTACACATCTTTTTCTAGCTTCTTGACGCATATAAACTCATTATTAAAGGGAATAAAATTCACATTTGAATCGGAAAATGAAGAAGGAGAATTAGCTATGGTGTCAGATTGTGAAATAAAACGAACAGAAGGTAGACTGCACACTAGCGTTTATAAAAAACCAACGCATTTTAATAGATATTTAGACTACTTTAATTCATCTCATTCGGTCGTTGTCTGTAAAGGCAGGCTTAGTTAAGTGTCTAACAAACCGAGCAGTAGTACTAAGTAGTGCAATAAAAAGCCTGAATGATGAAATGAAACAGATAGAAGAATAGCTGGTTGGTGTTAAATAACTATCCTATAAAATTCATTAGGAAGATCAAAAAAAGTCAAAAGCAAAATAAAAATAGTGGTGAAACTAATAATGATAACGTAAATAAGAAAGAATATAAGGCATCTACTGTTATACCATATGAGGAAGGGCATCTGAGACCCTATGAAGGATTCTTCATAAAGCAGGAGTTAGGGTGGCATTTAAACCTATAAACTCACTCGAAGACAAGCTCTGTAGGCTAATAGACGCAGTGGATCTAATGAAACAAAATACCCTGCAATGACTGTGAGGTCAACTGCACTAGGTGGGAACATAAGAATTTAGTTAAGGTAAGAATGGTTGACCCCACCTGAGAAGATAAGTAGTTTAGAAAAAAGCTCATCAATTGCACTGCATGCATCAACATACAATTCTTGAAAGAAATCTAGATAGGTAGGTGGAGATACAGAGCGGTTGATTACTGAATCTTTGTTCATGGAATCTACAGCGAACAAATGCAGCAGGAATAACTCATCACTCACATACCGGAAATATGGAATCAAATCAAGAGGTGACAAATAATGATGGAATTACATAAACAAAGTCAGAGAATTGTGTGAGTAGTGCCTTGATATGATTATGAGTGGCAATTTATTGTGCTGGAAATATGGTTATTAGTAAGTAGTACTTACTGTATAACACTGTGAGATTTTATCAAAATAAATTTTCTACATTGTAAGATCAGTTCAATTCCCATCCTTGAATCAAGTCAACCTGTACCGGATCAGCCTAGCGTTGTTGCAGCCCAATTATCCATGCCCCCCCCCTGTTTAGTGAACTGTGTGTGTGTTTTTACTTCGATCCGTTTAGTCGGACAGTTGAACTCATGACCCGATCAGAGTATTTTGTGAACTGTTATTTTTGCTGACCCATGTCTTACTTTGTACTATTCTGTCGAGTTTATCTTATTTATTGATCTTCATCTGTATCAGCCTACCTGGTTAAGTAGCCAATTAAATTCTATCTTTGTGCCTATGCTCTGTCTATCTCTCACTTGGGTTCATTCTTCTACTGACTGCTTACCTGAACGGTCGTGTCTGATTTCGGCTAGTGTGCAATTTTGGCTTTAACGTTATTCCGCTCTGATAGCGGTACCTTGCTTTCTGTTAAGCGTTGTGCTTTGTACTCTTGAAACCGTTAAGTACTGTAAGCGCAATATCGCTTGAAATTAAGTCACGCGTAGAAACAGTGACCGGCTTCTTGTTTGTTCTGGACAGGGATAGTCTTTATCTACGCGTGACTTAATTTCAAGCGATATTGCGCTTACATACATCATGAAAAGTTCTATGTTGAAAATTCGGTCACGTTCATATAGTAACGTTTATGTGCGCATGCATGTGTTTATTAATGTTATAAAACTATACGTAGAAACAGGTAAAATTAATAAAGCATGAATTATATATACATATTTATAGATGCATAATATAAATCAACTTACACTCCATAATATAATCAGTAGGCCAACATCGAAAAAGTGTATCCATATGTGGACTGTTAATAACAGTGATTAAATCCTGTGGAGTCATACGGGTTAGTTTATTAATGACAGCTTCAACAGTTTTTAAACTTTCTCTATGATCACCGACATCGTCATTATCACCATCACGATCATCATTCAGAGACTTGGAACAAACTCTATGAAAAAACAACAGGATGAAACAGATTTATAGTGAAGCATATAGAACTATAACTATAATCATAAGCATAAATAAATGACATACATATTCATTAAATGCATCGTCAATTCAATGGTACAATGCCCATGCCTCACATGGTCGAGAGTACGATCCCCAACCGACACACTCCAATTCCAATACGAGTTGAAGACATGAAAAGGTTGACTGTCTTTGATCATAGATGTCTATGATCTCTTTCTCACGTTAGGTGGCATAATAAGGTAAGTAATGTTGACGTTAGGCGTAGAGTGTTGGGCAAGGAGGGAAAATCAATCGAAGAGGCTATAAAGTTACATAGATTCAGATGGCTAGGTCACGTGATGCGCATGCTCAACCATCGCCTCCCCCACCCCGACGGGCATTACTAGCTGATATGGGGTGCAGGTTGAAAAAGAGTAAGTGGTGGCCAAACAAAAACATGGCATCAATCAATCCATGAAATGCTTGACAGTTAAACTGAGTCAGGTAGGGAGATGCAGACTTCCGGGTTGGGGCCCACCCTCGGGACTCTAAGAATCAATGGCTGAAGACAATAGGTGAAATGGCTCAAAATCGTTGTCAATGGCTTATGCAGATGTATTCAGTCTCTGTAATCTTTCATATTCCTTTCTACCATTACTCATTCTGTTTCACTCTTATACTTGTCAAAACTCTATTGATTCTCTTCATCACTCATCGTCTTGTCTACCTTTGTGTGCTATTTGGAACGTGGCAACTGGAACTGCTGCACATCGGTGCCAAGTTCTATGTTGAATCCATACAGAGACAGACAGTCGTATTTACATTTTCCAGAAACTGCATAGTAGTCCATTATTGAACAGTAGTAGCGTAGGGATTTTTAACTGATATCAATTCGTGGTCAAACTCATAAAAAGAAATCTAATCCTTACAAACCAAACTGTAGGAAATTAATCTGATGCTCGCTAGTAAGTTACAATAGCTACAGGACAGAGTTTCCTGTAGAGAGTTCTAGTGACAAGCCATCCATCACCAGAAAGTGACGTCCATCCAGTCAACTGTGAGGATGGATTTCCCACCGATGACATCGG